TTAATTTAATTTGATTTGATTCAAATATTTGATTTTAAATCAAATTCAAATATAGATTTTCAAATCAAATCAAATTCCAATTAAAAGATCAAATACAGTCAAATCTCTCTATAGTCATCTTCTTTATAGTCACAAAATTGATATAATTACAAATTTATTTTTATCAATTATTTATAAATATATAGAAAATACCTCTATATTAGTCATATCTCTTTATAATCATAGTTTTTTGTATTCTGTAGCCGTAACTATAAAGGAGTTTAACTATATTTGAAATTATTTATAAATAGTTAAAATTTGAAGAGTTATAATTTTAGAGACTATTTTCTTAAAATTTTATTAAGATAATTACTAATTTGGTTCTATGAAACTAAAGCTATTTTAATTAGAAGAATTTTTTTTATTTAATATACAAAATTAATTTACTTAATAAAATTTTAAAAAAATTGAAAATATTTATAAACAGCTAAAATTTAAAGAGTTATAGTTTTAGAGATCATTTTCTCAAAATTTTATTAAAATAATTACTAATTTGGTTTTATGAGACTAGAGTTATTTTGATTAAAAAAATATTATTTATTTAATATACAAAATCAAATTATTTAATAAAATTTTAAAAAAATTGATAATATTTATAAATGGTTAAAATTTAAAGAGTTATAGTTCTAGAGGCTATTTTTTTAAAATTTTATTAAGATAATTGCTAATTTGGTTCTATAAAACTAGAGCTATTTTAGTTAGAAAAACACTTTTTATTTAAGAGAATATTGTTATAGCGCTATAGCATTATAGTGCTATAGCACTGTGATGCGACCCTTATCTCATATGATGTAATAATAAAATAGTTTAATAAATTAATATGGGAATATTGTTATAGTGCTATACAAAGCATTTTAGTGCTATAGCACTATGGCGCTATCTTTTATAATATAAAAATAAAATTTAACCAAGAGAAAATTCCGGTTATATGGATTGACCATGCATAAGTATTTTTTTATATTGATTTTGCATTTTTTTTTTTTTACTAAGCATTTTCTTTTTTCTTCTTTATAGTGTTGCCTCGTCGTTGGTGTCGTAATTATTGTCATTTCGTTCTTGCTGGTCTGCATCGTAGGTGCCGTAATTTGTTGTAATTGACATTGTTTATTATATTCAGTTTAGCCGGTATCGTGACGTTTATGTTCATTCTGCAGGTGATGCGTCATTGTTTGTTAATGCTTTCAATTCTCTTGTGTCATCGTTTTCGCTGGTGATATTAAATGGTGCTTTGCTAGAACTTCGCTTTTACTAGTACTGGTTTCTAGTATTTGCTCTTTTGCTGGGACTTTGCTTTTTGATGCATCGCTTGCTGCTGCTTTGCCTTTCTGATATTTTACTTTTTTGGTGATTTGCTTTGCTCTTTTGCTAGAACTTCACTTTACTGGTACTTCGCTTGCTGCTGCCTTGCTTTTCTGATATTTTACTTTTTTGGTGCTTTGCTTTGCTCTTTTGCTAGGACTTTGCTTTTACTGGGGCTCGATTTACTGCTGCTTCGCCTTTTGGTGCTTGCTTGTGCTCTTTTGCCAGA